ACGGAGATATCTATCGGGACCTGTAAACAAACACGAAGATATCTATCGGGACCTGTAAACAAACACGAAGATATCTATCGGGACCTGTAAACAAGTACGGAGATATCTATCGGAACCTGTAAACAAACAGATATATCTATCGGAACCTGTAATCAAACACGGAGACATCTATCGGAACCTGTCAACAAGCACGGAGACATCTATCGGAACCTGTAAACAAACACGGAGACATCTATCGGAACTTGTAAACAAACATAGATATATCTATCGGAACCTTTAATCAAACACGGAGACATCTATCGGAACCTGTACACAAACAGGGAGATATCTATCGGAACCTGTAAACAAACAGGGAGACATCTATCGGGACCTGTAAACAAACAGGGAGACATCTATCGGGACCTGTAAACAAACAGGGAGACATCTATCGGGACCTGTAAACAAACAGGGAGATATCTATAGGGATCTGTAAACAAACATGGAGATATCTATCGGGACTTTTAAATAAACATAGAGATATCTATCGGGACCTGCAAACAAACATGGAGATATTTATCGGGACCTGTAAACAAAAAGGGAGATATCTATCGGGACCTTTAAACAAACATGGAGATATCTATTGGCAACTGTAAAACCTAGAAAAGAAATCGTGTTTATTGTGAAAAGGATCAGCATTTGAATAAATTATAGAATATACAAAATCTCATGACATGCAGCCTGGTATAGTAATTTATTTTATAATGAACAAAATCAATGTAACCAAGAAATCAGGCAAACTAATGAAATGCAATTTCATAAGCATATATAACAGCGTTCACACATAAATACAAATAAGGAAAGATAGTTATAATTATCAAAATGTATCGCTGGATTTGATGTAATGATGCACTTGTCTAAAAATGGTTGTGTTAGTTGAGTATTACCAAACAAAAGTAATTTTAAATCAAATTAACATGCAAGGCATTCACATTTTGGAGGATGTGTCTTCTGTTGTTAAAAAGGAAGCAATCACAAAATAAGTGAAAGGCATTGTCTCAGTCGGTTAGTGTGAAAGTGCAGCAGCCTGAAGTTGAGGGTTCGAATCCAGGTCTAACCAGGCGGTGTTCCTTTACACGAATAACACTGTTGTTGATTCGTTTATTTCATCTTTCATGAGAAAGTACTACACTTGGCATCGAGAATTGTAACGTTACAACTGAAATGACGTCACCTGAGTGAATATTAACCTGTTGTTTCTAAAATTAGCAACAACGAGTTAATATCACATGTGACTGACCTCTTTGTGTTAATGATCCAACCTATGAGATAGTAGTGAAAACGTGTGTCATCTACTAAATATATAAACGTCATATATTATTCTCATACATTTGGAAGACCGAAAGTATAATTTTGATAGTATTTATGAAAGTATTGTTTTGCCAGATTATGAAGAGGTGACTGCCATATAGATTAAATGACTGTCAAAGCATCTCAAGGGAATAGGATATTTACACGGGACTTTAAATGGGTATGGGAGATTTAAATGAGAATTACAGAGAAGGTGTAGCGGGGTGGTTTTACAAATAACCAAGAGTTCTTTGAGATTTATGTTTATTCCATTTCCACAGCACAGATATAACATGGTTCAATATCCTAGTGTATAGGTAGATACATATACATTACACTCTGTAAACAAACACAAAAGACTACATTTAGCACAACGAATCACAAGTACACTACATATACTACAGGGACATAACTCTTACAAACTAATTACTGTACTGCCTACTAATTCATACCGTTACAATTACACAGCATACATGGCAATTACTTTACAATAATTTTACAATTATTGTTTCTCAATTATATATCATTACAAATAGTTACATAGTAATCTAATGACCAATTAATCCAAAAGAAATAAGAAAGAAAATGATAAACCTAACTTTAACAACTAAAGTTAGAATATAACTTTCATGGAAATATAAATTACTTAAAATGTACATATCACGCACCTGTGTATGGCACAGAGCCAGGAATTAGGAAACCGATGCCATCAAACGAGCGAATCACTTAGTACTGAATTATTCGATCTATAAATAAAATAAAACCATTCTCTTAAAAATGGTAAATGTCAATATACAGATATATATACTTTAGTAAACATTATTGTTCTTCCTAGTGTAATAATAGTCATGAGGATTCAAACATGAAATACACTAAATATAAGAAATACATATTACTTGGTCAATTCTTTAAACCTCCCATAATTATAAATAAATTCCATTTAACAATTATTTAGAAACTACCAATATATTTAAATTAACTAGAACCCTAGCCAAATTAACTTTAACTGTGAAGAAATTATTAATATTAGATAATAGAGAAAACTTACTGTCAAAAGATGTATGTGTCGGTGTCCAAATCAACATGTCTGCTCTCTTACAAAATCTTTCACAAAACTGACACAATGAAATCCCGCCAAAAGTGACCAATATAAGACTGACCAATAGAAACAGAAATCTATACAAAATATCTGACCAATGAAAATAGACTATAAACAATAACATACTGGACCTTACATAACCACTCCATAGGATACTATACAGGTAAAGACAGGTAGACATCACAGGTAAGGATCACACCACAGGACATGTACGTCATAATATCAACACATATAAATAACATACTGGGCACAACATAGAATATAACACAGAGTATTTAATTAATATAAAATACAATAAAATATGACTCTGCTACATTCTCCCCTCCTGCGAAAAATGTCGTCCTCGACTAGGAGATATACTGAAGCAGTAACAATTAGCAAATCATGTGATATCAATTATACAATAGATGGGCATATATATAGACTTGGTTAAAATATAAATCAAATCTTTAGTACAAATCCGAAAGTAACAGTCCAAAATATGGAACAATGTCTAGATGATCTTGCCCGACAAAATACTAAGAAAAGTAGCCACAATTTTTCCATCTTGCTCCTCCAGAGTTCCTCTGTCAATCAACTCTGTTAGGAACTTTGCCCTTAATTTCCAATCAGGATCCTGCTGTTGCTGCTGCTGCTTCTGCTGCTGCTGCATCATAGAAAAGTCTCCTTTCCGCATCCATACAGGTTTCACTCTATTCCTTTGCGACCCTCGGGGTGCAACAGGTGATTCCTGTGTGATGTGTGGAGTGTCCTCTGGTGTGGCTAACTCTTCCTCCAGTTGCTGCGGCTCCAATTTCTCAGGCTCATCTTCAGAGACCCTGCTGGTAGTAGGTCCGGAGTCGATGTCGGATTGGACATCAGCCCCTACTATCAGCACTTCCCCCTCCTCTGAAGATGACGAGGTTGACCCTTCATCACATGAAGGTCCATGCCTGAGTCTGGATCTCAACTTCCTTGGAGTCGGTTTTGGTTTCCTGGGAGTCGGGATTGGTTGCCTTTGCCTGGTATCTATACATCCAATAGGCAGAAGGAGGTTTCTGTGCAATGTCCTAATCCGTCCTTCTCCGTTCTCCTTCCTAACTGTATAGGCTGGTATGTCTGCATTAGGCTGTCCAGTAACAATATATGGGTCCTCCTCCCACTTGTTGGTTAGTTTATGTTTTCCCTCAAAGGCAAGTATCTTAACTAACACCCTGTCACCAATGTTTAACACGGCCTCCCTGACACGGCTATCATAGTGTTTCTTCTGTCTGTTCTTAGCCTGTGCAGAGTGTTTGGCTGCTAGATCATAAGCATACAACAGTCGTTGCCTCAAATCATCAACATATTTTGGCATAGAGCTCATGTTTGGTCCTGTTTCAATCCCAAAGGCAAGATCCACTGGTAAACGAGGATTCCGTCCAAACATGAGAAAATATGGGCTTTGTCCTGTTGACTCTTGACAGGTGCAGTTATATGCATGAACCATACTGGTGACATGAGCTTTCCAGTTCTGTTTCTGGTCTGATGAAAGTGTTCCCAACATTCCAAGTAAAGTTCTGTTGAAACGCTCACAGAGTCCATTCCCGATCGGATGATATGGAGTTGTATGTGATTTCTCCACTCCGGTGATTTTACATAGCTCCTTCATTAGGTTACTCTCAAAGTTTGGTCCCTGGTCAGAATGGATCCTGTGAGGTAATCCGTAGTGTACAACGAAATGGTTAAAGAAAACTTCTGCAGTTGTTCGAGCTGTCATGTTTTTAGTTGGTACAGCAACGGCATATCTCGTAAAATGATCTGTCATAACGAGGATGTTTTCAATGCCACCTTTAGAGGTCTCCAACGAGAGAAAGTCCATGCAAACAAGCTCTAATGGTTGATGCGTGTTGATCGACACAAGGGGTGTACAAATCCTAGCTGGTGTCTTCCTAAGTAAACATCTAGCACAATTCTTTACCCACTCGTCAACATCCTTAGTCATACCAATCCAATAAAATCTCTCCCGAACCAAGGATAAAGTCCTGTCGCGTCCTTGATGGCCAAAGTCATCATGCAACATGGTGAGTACAGTAGAGATCCTGGACTTTGGTAGAACAATCTGGGTCTTGACATCAATATCCTCCTTGACGTCACGGCACAATACACCATCTCTGATTTTCAGCTTCTCAAAATTCTTCAACATAGCCTGATGTCCAGGTAAACAAGGCAGATCCTCTCGACGTGGTTTATTTCCAGACTGTACAAGTGGCATCCAGTATCCCGTAAGTGGATCATTTATCTGTTCCTCATGTAATCCTAGAATAGGCTGGGTAACTGAAGCTGGCATAGTCAGAGGTACCTGTGCTGACATAGCAATGGTTTCTATGTATGGAGTAGTACTGATGCCCTTGCTGAGTGCCTGGATAACATCCTTGGAAATCTTCACTGGATCATCATCTGTGCTGAGTGAAGGATGTCGGGACATGCTGTCGGCATCAGCATTGTTGATACCAGGTCTGTACTGGATATCAAAGTCATAATTAGCCAAGGCTGCTATCCATCTCTGTGAAGTGGCATCAAGCTTAGCAGAAGACAACACATACGTCAAAGGATTGTTGTCTGTGATGACAGTAAAAGGGCAAGCGATGAGGTAGTCTGAGAACTTGTCCGTTACTGCCCATTTCAAAGCGAGGAACTCCATTTTGTGTGCTGGGTAACGTCTCTCAGCTTTAGTTAATCCTCGACTGGCATATGCTATCACACGCTTGACATTATCCTGATACTGGTATAGTATGGCCCCTAATCCCAATCCAGAGGCATCAGTGTGTAGAACAAAAGGTTTCGAAAAGTCGGGATAACTAACTATGGGTGGTCCGGTGAGACATGTCTTGAGCTCCTGAAAGGCGTCTTCTTGGTCCTCTTCCCATATCCATGGATGTAGATCCTGGTCCTGACTCTTACACTTCCGTCCTTTCTTCTTTTCAGGTGGTGTCATAATGTTGGTAAGAGGCCGGGCTATGCGGGAGAAATTCTTGATAAAGCGACGATAGTATCCAACAAATCCTAAGAACTTTCTCACTTCATCTGAATTCTCAGGACGTGGCCATGTTGTCACTTTCTCAATCTTCTCGGGATCCGGCTCTATTCCATGTTCTGAAACAATATGTCCCACATATTTTACCTTGCGACGGAATAAAGAACACTTGTCTGGTGCAAGTTTCATACCACAATCCTCTAAGCGTTTAAAAATCACTTCCAGGCGTTGTAGGTGCTCCTCAAAAGTTCCTGAGAAAATGATCACATCATCGATGTAAACAAAGCAAATCTTTGTATGCAGTCCCTGCAATGCCTCTTCCATCAGCCGTTGATATGTTGCAGGGGCATTCGCCAATCCAAAGGGCATACGGGTGTACTCATAGAACCCTAACGGTCCTACAGTAAAGGCTGTACGGTCCTTATGTTCTGGATACAGTTCTACCTGGTGATATCCAGACTTCATATCCACAACTGAGAAGAATTTATTACCAGCAAGCGAGTCCAATGTCTCATCTATGCGTGGTAAGGCATACGCGTCTTTTACAGTCCTCTCATTTAATTGACGATAGTCAACACAAAGGCGGAGCTTTCCATTCTTCTTTCGAACAAGTACAACGTTTTATGACCATGGGGAATGTGAGCAACGTATGACTCCAGCAGCAAGTAACTGATGAAGATGTGTCCTTACTTCATCAAACATTGACGGCGGAATGCGTCGACATCTCTGTTTGAAGGGTATTTCATTCGTAAGTTCAATCCTGTGGGTCACTAACGATGCATGTCCTATATCTGTATCACCAGTAGAGAAGATATGGCGATGTTGCTCTAAGAATTTCCTCCCTTTAGAAATCTCATCTTCTGACAATCCCTCTGTGCAAAGCTCTACCTTCTCCAGTACATCCACTGAAGAATTCACATCTATCTCCTTGGTGATATCCTCCACTGTAATAGGCTGCATCTCACAGAGAAGAGCTCGGGGTTGTATAGTCACTGTGGATGTGGATAAGTTTGTGACGTGGACCTTGACAATTCCCTTCCTATCGTAATGGTAAGGAATCAGAGATGGGGTTATATCCAAATCATCTGGTATACAGGAGCCTGGAGTTGGTTGGAGAAGAGCACAAACTGTAGGGTATGCTAAATTCTTCCTTGTAAACCCATCTATGGTGACCTCAGAGTTAGAAGGTATGATAACCGGTTTGTCTTCAGCACTTCTTACAACAGCTAGACGATGGTTGTTTTTCTCCAACTCCTTGTCTCGCAATGTCATACATCTAAAGGCTAAGTATAACGGTGTTGTAAGTCTTGCTTTCTGTAGGAATGTCTGTCCATATTCATCCCTAACTCGGTGCAGCATCACATTCAAAATGTTGGTACCAAGAAGTATAGGCACTGATAAATTATAGGGGCTATCAGGAACCACTGAAAATACACCTCTATCAACATAGTTGTCCTCACCATGAAGGCCTGTTCCATCAAAAGTAATGGGAGCTTCTACAATTCCTTCATATGGAAGATCCTGGCCATCTGCACACTCTATTTTAAGAATGGTGTCCAATGGTTTAATCTCTCTGTGACTCAGGTACTGATTATAAAATCTCATAGACACTGTAGACACTGTAGATCCAGAATCAAGAAGAGCTCTGACTAAATGGCCTTCCATCATAACAGAAACCTCTGTCGGTGGTCCAAGTAAATCTGGAGGCTGATGAGTGGTGTTATGGTTCCCTCGTATCTTCTGGCCTATCGTCTGCCCCTTGACGATGGCCTCTGTCCGTTTAAAGGTTTTCTCATATGATCAAGTCTTACCCTGCAGCCAAGGGCTATATGTCCGATTTGACCACATCTGTAACAAACGGGTTCTATCACCAGATGATGGTTGTTGGTAGTTCTGAGTAGATTGGCTGTCTCTCTGCCATCCATGGGACTGGTTAGGCTGTACGTTCTTCTGTTGATCCCACTCTTTCTGCCTTCTCGGGTACTGCTGACTGTCCTTCAGAACTTTCACATCTGCTGCGAGTTGTTTTACTATAGTTCTAATTTCCTTCATTCCCCCTTCCTCAGATGAAATGGTATCAACAGCTGCTTTGGATGTAGCTACAGACTTCTTGAAATCAGACTTATCAGGTTGTCGTTGATTATAATCCTCCTCAAAACGACGAATAGCTATCCGAAGCTCATCAAATTCCTTTATCCTGTCAACTATATGTGCTGTAATATCCTTCAAGGGAGCGCGAAGTCCCTGCCACAACATCGTACACAGCATGCTATTAGCCTGGGTTACATCCACTTGTCCTCCCTCTACAGCTTTATATAGTAGTGTCTCCAGTCTACAACTCCAGGATGATACACTCTCATCTACATCTTGTCGAGCACTGTAAAACTTAGCTAAGTACATCTCAGTCTTCACTACAGCACCATAAATACTGTCCATCTTTGTTAAAACATGTCCAGTGGTGACGGATGCTGGCAATATAGACCTCACTCTTAGTGCCTCTCCCTTCAAAGAGCTTCGGATGGCTTGAGCCACTGCATGTTCTGGATGTCCTTCCTTGATAATGCACTCCACCTCCTTTCTCCACACCTCATAAGGAACATCCTTCTTGTCTTTATCTCCTGAAAAGTGTGATATCTTGGGGAAATGTTGAATAGCAGATGTGGTGTACTGTGTATGAAGTTGAGTCTTGATACCAGCCTTGCTATCCTCATTTTCCTCATCCTGTTGTTCCTCTGATGACTGAACATGATCCTTCATCCAAGTCTGGAAATCTTCTAGAGTATCAAGTTTGGGCTTAATCTTCATCGTCTTGAAATGTGCAAGCAACATATTCGCCTCATCCTTATTCATCTCCAAGTCCGACATGATGAATGAAGTTACACACAATGCACAGAAATAAACAATGAGCATTAATAATTACAAGTATAATGATACTAATAGCAGAAGTAAGAAAAAAATAAACAAATTTGATGCTGAAAAATAAAAGTTCAAATCTAAAAATTAACAAACATTCAATGCAGTGACTCTATACTAATACACATGTAAACAGAAAAGCCCAGAAACAAATACAATGACACAAACAACAGACAAACACACAATAAAGGCACTATAAAATATATCCAGGCAAACCGCAGTAATATCACAGCTACATTATCACAGTATCATATGACACAGGCAAATACCAAATAAAATAAAAAAAACACACAACTGAATAAGTTCAATAAATCAACAGATTCAACCAAATCACAATTAAGTAAACCTGCTCAGAAAATATCACAAATGCACAAAAACTGCCAAACTAAGTCAGTCATGTCAAATGTCACTAAGAAAACACAGTGTTAGTATTCTGCAAAGTTTAAATGTAAAAGGAGAAAAAATATATATATCGCAGAAAAAAAAAAGGAAAAAAATATTTAACGTATATCAGAAAAAAATCTATGCAAAAAAAATTATGAAAAAAAAAATCCACCTATGGTTAATTTTTTATGAATGTATTTACATATCAATAAAGTTAACCAAAGAATCAATGTACAGACAAAAAACGAAACAAACCTACGACCTCA